ATAGATTTGCTAGGTATAGTATTGTTTGACTGTTGGAGTAGTTTTAGCACTTTCAATATATCATCCCATTCTTTGGTGGCCTGTAAAATTTCTGCAGAGAAATCTGTTAGTCTAATGATGATTCCCTTATATGTGACTTGATCCTTTTGTTGTTTTTTGCGTTCTATCTTTGGTCTTTGACCTTTGACAGTTTATAATGTGCCTCAAGAAGGACCTTTTTGGGTTGAATATATTTGGGATTCTTTGAGCTTCCCCTATCTGGATGTCCATAGACTTGGGAAGTTTTTGCCTATTATTTCATTAAATAGGTTTTCTATGCCTTCTTGTCTTCCCCTTCTGGATTCCTATAATACAAATATTTGTTCACTCAGTGGTGTCCCTTAAGTCTTGTAGGCTTTCTTCACCTCTTTTTCATTCTTTCTTTCTTTTTCCCTCTGACTGGGTAATTTCAAATGACTGATGTAAAAATATTTCTTTCTTCTACTTTATCAAATCTGCTGTTGAATCTCTCTATTGTATTTTTTATTTTGTTCATTGAATTCTTTAGCTGTAGGATTTCTGTTTGGTTCTTTTCATGATTTTTATCTGTGTTGAATTCTTGTTCATATTGAGAATGGTTTTTCTGATTTTGTTGAGTTGTCTGTGTATTTTCTTGTCTCTCATTGAATTTCCTTAAGATCATTATTCTGATTTTTTTTTTCCAGAAATTAGTTGCTTTTCTTTTCATTGGGTTTTGTTGTTTTATACTTTCAGTTCTGGGGTGTTTATTGGGGTTTTTAATGAGAAAGTTATGTTCCTTTGGTGGTGGTATATTTCTTTACTTTTTTTTTTTTTATGTTTCTTATGTCCCTGCATTGATGTCTGTGGATCTGGTGGAACAGTCACTTCTTCCATACTTTCTGGAGTGGCTTTTATATTGAATAACTTTCACTTGCAGTTGGGGTTTAGTGTGCTGGTTGGGAGAGTGTGGTTACTCTGTTGCTAGATAGCAACTCTGTTGTTATTGAGTCTTCATTCAGTTTCTTTAGCTGTGTTCACCATCAGCAATGGTGTAGGCTTCTATAGCAGCCTACACTGTAGAAGATTGTGGCGATGGCAGCAGCATAGGTTGTGAATGTCCTTGATGTCAAGGGCTTCTGGGGAGCCACCTGTTCTTGTTTTCATTACAATGGGGAGACTTAGCTGAGTAGATCCCTCTTGGAGTTAGGTCTGACATGGCCTGTAAGCAGCTTTTGTAGCACTGTGTTCCAGGTGCAGTTGCTTGGAGTAGCTGTGGGACCGGGGTCCTAGGCTCATAGGCTTATGAACCTACTGTTGCACTTGGATCTTGGGGTACAGAATTGCTCTTAGGTGGGGTTAGATGTAGGTTGCCCACAGAGCCAGGACCTGTAACTTTCAGGCATTTACTAGTAGATGGGGTCCAGGGAGTCAGGTTGTAGCTGAGATTCTATCCCTGAAAGGCAGGGCACAGCACTGGCCTGACTTCAGGGAAAAATAGTTGCTTTGGAGGTTTGATCCTAGGGAGCATGGTATGGCTGCGGTTCAGAAACGTGAGTGATTAGAGCTCAATGGCAACTCAGGTCTCAGGGGATGAAGCTTGTATAGTAGTGACTGTAGACCCTGGGATGGTGGGACTCTGCAGCAGCAGATACACAGCTGTTGTTTAGGTAGGGCAGGGAACAGCATAGCAATGACTCCATTTGCTAGGTAAAGGCAGGCATCAGCAGCTCAGACTCTAAGGGCCTAGTCTGGTCTAAGGAAGCCAGAGTACTAGAGCTGTTTGGCTAGTAGGACGACGTGTCTCAGCTTAGCTACTGCTTTGTTTCCCTGGGACATGGATTACTCAACCTTGGGGTGCACAGCTGCTCAGCTTGGCCAGGACACTAGTTCCCCAGAGGGCAATGTGCTGCTTCAGTTTAGGCCTGGGGGTCATGACTGGTCTGGGTGGCCATTTCCCTGGGATGCAAGGTGCCACTTCAGGTTAGGTACTGGGGGTTGTGTGACTACTCTGAGTATCTTTGGCAGTTTCCTGCAATTCATTATGCTACTTCAGCCTGGGCACTGGGGATGCATGACTGCCTTGAGCTGCCAAGGTACAATTTTCCTGGGAGGTAGGGTACCTCTTCAGCTCCAGCCTGATGGGGAGAGAGGAGTGGTGGGTGAAGTAGCTTCACTTCTTCTTGGTTCCGTGAGGAAGGGTTTAATCACTGTTAGCTTGGCCTGGTGATTTCAGGCCACTGGGCTAGTATGATTCAGCAGTGGCTTAGCCTCAGAGATGAAAGGGAGCCATGGCTACTTGTCTCTGGAGCAAAACGTGTTTCAGCGATAGCTCCACTTGCAAGGTGGTATAGCCACATGGGCCAGGGCACAGTATTAGCTGCTTCTCTCAGGGGAACCCAGTGGTGTAGACTCCAGACAGCCCCCTCAGCTGGTCTTAGTACCTGTGAGGACTACAGGGGTAGGGTCTGTAGGTATCCGAGATATTAATGGGGGCTGGTTGTTGGGATTCTCTTGCTTGCCTCCTTGCTCTAGGAAGAAGTTATTCCTGGTTCCCAGCTGATCCCGGTTGGAAATGGGGTGCTGGGGCCCTGGCATTCCCTTTTGTTCTCTGTGTTGCCATTCTGAGTTCTGTGCTCACCCTAGTTTCTGTTTCTCCTTTGGTGCACTCCATTGCCCTTCTTCAGTTGTTTTCGTTAAAATATAGTTGTCTGTTCATCGTCTTTTTCCAAGTTTATTCTTTTGTTTGTGATATACAATAGTCCCAGAACCATTTGTTGAAGACTACCCTTTCCCCATTCAGTTGACATCCTTGTTGAAAATCAGTTGACCATAAATATAAGGTTTACTTCTATGCTTTCAATTCCATTTTATTTTATTTTATTTTATTTTATTTTTTGAGACAGAGTCTCATTCTGTTGCCAGGCTGGAGTGCAGTGGCTCGACCTTGGCTCACTGCAACCTCTGCCTCCTGGGTTCAAGCAGTTCTCCTGCCTCAGCCTCCCAAGTAGCTGGGACTACAGGCATGCACCACCATGCCCAGCTAATTTTTGTATTTAAGTAGAGACGGATTTTCACCATGTTGGCCAGGATGGTCTTGATCTCTTGACCTCGTGATCCACCCGCCTCGGCTTCCCAAAGTGCTGGGATTACAGGCGTGAGCCACTGCCCCTGGCCTCAGTTCCATTTTATTCATCTATTTATCTTTCCTGCTACCAGTGCCACATAGTCTTGATTATTGGAGCTATGTAGTAAAATTTGAAATCAGGACATTTGAGTCCTCCAACTTTGTTCCTCTTTTTCAAGATTGCTTTGGCTATTCTTGGTTCTTTGTATTTCCATATGAGTTTAAAGATCACCTTGTCAGTTTCTGCAGAAAACCAGCTGGAATTCTGATAGGGATTGTATTGAATCTGTAGATACATTCATGGGGAGTATCCATCTTAGTATTAAGTCTTCTAATCCATGAATAGGGGTATTTCCATTTATGTAGCGCTTCTTTAAAATCTTTCAACAGTGTTTTGTAATTTTCAATGTACAAGTTTTACACTTCTTATGTTAAATTTATTCCCAAGCATTTTGTTATTTTTGATGCTATTGTAATTGTTTTCTTAAATTCATTTTGGATTGCTCATTGCGAGTGAATGGAGAGCTTCAATAGATTTTTAAATATTGATCTTGTATCATACAACCTTGCTCACCTTGTTTATTAGTGCTAATAATTTTTTGTAGATTCCTTAGGATTTTCTGTGTACTAGATTATCTTGTCTCCAAATAGTTCTACTACTTTTTTCCCCAATCTGGATGCCATTATTTCTTTTTCTTGCATAATTGCTCTTGCAAGAACTTCTAGTATGATCAGTGTTAAAGTAGTGAGAATGGACATCCTTGTTTTGTTCTGGATCTTGGGAGAAAACTTTTAGTCTTTTATCATTAAGTTTGATGTTAGTTGTGGGTTTTAGCCTTCTATTCCTAATTTGCTAAGTGTTTAATCATGAAAGGGTATAAGCTTTTGTCCAATGCTTTTCTTCATCTATTAGATAAGTATGTTTTTTTCCTTTAGTCTATTGATATATTATGGTATTCATCAGCTCAGGCTGCCGTAATAAAATACCATGGACTAGGTAACTTAAATTAGCAATCCCCAACCTTTTTGGCACGAGAGACTAGTTTTGTGGAAGACAATTTTTCCACAGATGGGGTGGAGGGGTGTTTTGGGATTTAACTGTTCTGTCGCAGATCATCAAGCATTAGATTCTCACAAGGAGGGTGCAACCTAGATCCCTTGCATGCATAGTTCACAATAGAGCTTCTACTCCTATGAGAATCTAGTGCCACCGCTGACCTGACAGGAGGTGGAGCTCAGGTGGTAACGCTTCCTTGCCTGCCGCGCTCACCTCCTGCTGTGCGGCCCAGTTCCTAGCAGGCCACGGACAGATACCTGACAGGCCTTCTCACTGTATCCTCCTGTAGCAGAGAAAGAGGGTGATTTGTCTTCCTATTTTATAAGGCCACCAATCTTATTAAATTTGGTCCCTGCCCTTATGACTTCATTTAACCGAAATTACCTCCTAAAAGCCCTGTCTCCAAATACAGTCACATGAGGGGTTAGAACCTCAACATGTGAATTTTTGGGGGCATGCAGTTCCACCTATAGCAATTAGATTGATTGGTTTTCAGATGTTAAACTAGTCTTGCATTTTGGGATAAATCCCACTTGTTCATGGTGTATAATCCTTTTTATATGTTGCTGGATTTGGTTTGCTCTTAATAATTTGTTGAGGATGTTTGCAGCCTTGGATTTCAAGGCTTTGGAGATCTATAAAAGCAGTCAAGTAATATGGGGCCCATATCTAGTGAAGTATTTTAACAGAAACAATGGAAGCCAAAAGAAAGAAAACAACTGCCACCTAGAATTCTCTACTCAATACGTATATCTTTTAATAAGGAAGGTGAAATAAAACTATTTTCAGGAAATAAAAATTAAGGGAATTTGTCACCAGCAGACTCTCACTAAAGGAAAAACTAAAAAGGAGTTCTTCAGGCAGAAGGAAAATGATTCCCGATGGAAGCTCACAGATACAGGAAGTAATGAAGAACAGTGGAAAGGTAAATATGTAGGCAATCTAAGTGAATACTGTCTTGTGGGATGAACAACAATGGCATATAAATTGGGAGGGGAGTAAGTGATGTTAATTTCTAAGAACTTTGCATTGTTTATAAAGAGAATAAAAGTAACAAGTCATTTTAGACATTGACAGTTCAGGGTTGCTCATTGTAATCTCTTACCAAAATAGACTACAAAAAGTCTATAACTATAGAGTTAATAGTAAGGGAAAAATTGAAATAGTGAAACATTGTCTACAAGAACACAAGAAAGGAGAGGAAAAGGAATAATTGTATAGGCAAGAATAATAACAGATTGAAAAAGTCAAATACAACTCTATCAATAATATATTAAGTGAAAATAGATTTGATGCTTGAATTACAACTGTATTCAATATTTTGTCAGAGATCCTAGTCAAGGATCTATGGAAAGAAAAAGAAATAAAAATGATAAAGATTGGATAAGAAGAAATAAAACTATTTATACACAACATGATCATGGACATGAAAACTCAAAAGATAGCTAGGTAAACCATCAGAATCAATAAGTGAGTTTAAAAAGGTTGTTAGACCAATGTAAAAAGGAAGTGTATTTTTATATACAGATACCATGCAGAAAATGAGATACAATTGTTTACAATAGCATCAAAGAACATCAAATTCTAGGGAATAAACGTAAGAAAATGTAAGATTTAAGCTAGAAACTATAAACATTCAAAGAAATTTTCATGTTCATGGATTAGAAGAATCAATATCATAAACATGTCAATTCTGCCTAGATTGTTATATTTATCCAATGTAATTTCAATGAAAATCTCAGAAAAGTTTTTTTTTTTTTTAAATGAAAAACCAATTCCAGAAATAAATGTGGGAAAGTAAAAGGCTCAGAAGAACCAGGATAGTCTTAAGAACAAAGTGAATATATGTCCTCTACCAGATACTAAAACTTTTGAAACTACGGTCTTTAAAATAGTACAGTCTTGCTACAGAGTTAGAAGGATCGTGGAAACAAGCCAGGAACTCCAGAAACAGACACATATATGGATGTCTGATTTGTCACAAAGGTGGCGCTGCAGAGCAGTGAGAACAGGACTTTCTTCAATAAATGATACTGGGTCAATTGAATATTCATATGGAGAGGAAAATGAAACTTTATTGCCGAATCACCCTGCATATAAAAATCAGTTAGAAGTAGATGTAAACGTCGTAGGCAAAATAGCAAACCTTCTAGAAACAGGAGAAAATCTTTATGACTTTGATGGTAAAGAGAGATTTCTGGCCACAAAAAGGACTGACAAAGAAAAAAAGATAAAAACTGGGCTGTAATAAAGTTAAGAAACAATAGAAGATGATTAAGAAAGTGAAAAGCTGCAGAGAGGAAGATGGCACTCAAAACACATGTAATTGAACAAAGAACTGGTGTTCAGAATAAATAAGGAATTTCTACAAGTCCATAAGGAAGAGACAGAACATCCATTTGAAAAACAGAGAGACTTGAACAGACCCAACATAGAAGAGGATATCCAAATGGCCAGTAAATAGGAAAAGCTATCACAAAAATTACAGAGTAAGACCACAGTGATATAACCATAAAAACATGTACAATAGCTAAAATTAAAGAGACTGACAATACTAAGTGTTGATAAGGAGGTAGGAATATTGCTTGTAGGAATATAAATTGGTACAGCCACTTTAGAAGACTGGTTGGTAGTGATTACTAAAGCTGAACATATGCAAATTTTATGACTCAGAAGTTTCACTCCTAATTACTCAACAAAATTGCATGGACATTGGTACCAAAAGATATATGAGAAGGTTCTTCACAGCGTTATTAGTAATAGCCAAAAGCCAGAAAAAACGCAAATGTCCATCAAGAGTAGAATGAATAAATAAAATATGGCATATTCATACAATGAAATATGCAGAAAAGAAAATGAACAAATTCAGCTAATATGGATGAATATTACATGTATAATATTGAGTAAAATAAATTAAATGAAAAAGCATACATATTGTATGACCCCATTTATATACATTTCAGAAAATTTTAAAACTATAGTACTTAAAAGTTAGGTAATAGTTACTTTTGGGGAAAAGGGAAGGGATATTAGATTGGGATGGACATTACAGGGATTTCTGGGTGCTTGTCAACTTTTCATGGATGGTAAGAATGTGTTTACCATGTGATAGTTGATTGAGCTATGTGCATATGATTTGTGTACTTTATGTATGTTATACATCAATTCAAAAAATCTAAAGGAACTATACTTTATGGGATGTAAATGAAGTTTTCTGTTCACATTGCCTTTTTACGAGAGGACAGGGTTGGATTTTATTATTTATTTTTGTAATTTCAACTTTTATTTTAGATTCAGTAGGGACAGCACATGTGCAGGCTTGTTATGTGGCTATATTGTGTGATGCTGAGGTTTGGGGTACAAATGATCTCATCAACCAGGTAGTGAGCACAGTACCCGATAGGTAGTTTTTCAGCCCTTGTCCCCTGCCCTGTCTTCCCTGACCTAGTATCCCCAGTGCCATTTATTCCTATCTTTATGCCCACATGTACCTAATGTTTAGCTCCCACTTAAAAGTGAGAACATGCGGTATTTGATTTTCTGTTTCTGTGTAAATTTGTTTAGGATGATGGCCTCTAGTTGCATCCATGTTGCTGCAAATGACATGATCTCATTTTTTATGGCTGTGTAGTATTCCATGATGTGTATGTACCACATATTCTTTATTCAGTAAGGTTGGATTTTAACTGAATATTTGTTTCCTTGTGCATTTGTCCCCTTTAATCACCAGGCGGTCTAACTCTGGCGATGGGTCCTGGACAGTGGAGAGTTTTGTAGCAAGATTTCGAAAGTGTCGTAATTTAGATTGTTCCTGGGGCTAGGAGCACTAGCATTGACCTCTGAAGTCAACATGGAAGAAAATAATTGCAAGAGTTGTAACAGTAGTCAGGAGCTAGCAACCTGTTTTAAGTTCTTTGAGCACCTTTACTGAGATACTTTAAAACATATTTTCTAAGTATTGTTAAATTAAAATGCACTATTAAATTGTAAGTAACATGTTAGAAATATGCCATTTGCTAACATGATACAGTGAAAGAGAAGCTTTAGATTCAAATCCTGGCCTTGCTGTTTGCTCAGTATGAAAATTTGGGCAGTTTACTCTAATTTTTTATTATTTTTTTCTCTTTCTTTCTCTCTTTCTTTCTTTCTTTCTTTCTTTCTTTCTTTCTTTCTTTCTTTCTTTCTTTCTTT